GCAATTTTACAACTGGATGCACGAACAGGTTTTCCTGCATTCTTCAATTTGATTTGAACTTTACTATCCCCGTAATTCATTCTTCGCGGTAGATTTCATATTTTACCATTTTAACAAATTGTATACAACGAAAAGATGTATTTTCATTATATGTTTTAAGCAATCAAAGTTAAAATGTTTTTTTTATGTAATTTGCGATAACTCAGTAATAAAAAATCTTAGGAACATTTTTGAAAACCGATTTTATAGAAAAAACTTTCACGCTAGAAGTCAAATTTTTTTAAGCACGTCGTAGGCATACAAAATAAGAAGAGAATTTTCCATTTTACCCAACTATTCGTAAACTGAACTTGCAGAAATTAAAAAATATATGTAGTAATCCTTTAAATATAAACATTTTAAGCTTTAAAATTCGTTTTAAAGTAGAAAAACTTTAAATTTTAAATATATCAAATTACTGCTCGAGTTTTAATAATATAAATCGTGTACAAATTTTTGCATTCATCCAATGTGTCTCATATAAAAAAAAATTGATAAAGTTCATAAGTTAGTACATATCCGATATGGTTTTCTTATGCTACATGTACATATTTACATTGCAAGGAAAAGTTTATACTCACATGACGAATTCGTAAAGTTTTTAACAAAGAATACGATTTACGAGATACTTTTCAGTTGGAGCCATGTCGAGTCGCGGCAATGTATGTGGCAGAGTGATTGATGAGCTTTCGTGAATTACGGATCACTGCAATCACAAGACTTCTAACGTTTGTCGCCGATAATAACTAAGTTTCATTTTCTCGCCATTTGTTCAGAGATTTTTTGTTAATAATTTTTTCCGGATAACGTACATGATGAATTACTAGTATTTTTCCGAGTCTTTTCGATCATTAAGAAAAAGAAGGAAATTAGATTGAAACTTATATACACATGAATATTAATATCTTAATTGGATTTAAAATAAATTGCATAATATGAATTTAATGAATATATATAATAAAAATTGCAATATACCTTACTGTATTATCAAAATATAATTAACAATAAATGTGTTGTGTGAGCTGTTATTTAATAAAAAAATTATTGAAATATTTTACTAGCCTTCAAACTGCCAATCAATCTTTATGATCATAGTTTCGATCTTTAAGGTGTATAGTACGTACTTGAATAAGTAGTATAATGGAAAACGATCTATCTCTTATTTCTTTAATCTGTTGTCCATTTCATCGTGTTTATATATTATATATATACATATATATATAAACACGATGAATATTGTATATATATATATATATATATATACAGCTGATACACGCATTTGCCGTTTCGTCAAAACACATCTTATATTTATTGATATCAGTATAGTTTTTATGTTTTTGCGCTTTTTTATTAGCTGTACGATGTTTGCTATCCCTGACCCTTTTTCCTGCACGAAAGCTCTAATAGTCCTTCTTGTGCTATATCAGGATACACCTACAAGGTCTAGAGAATTTACATCCTTCTGTTCATGTGCTTTCACCATTAACCCTTAGTACATACAATAATTCCGGTCCTTTATTACTGCCTTTAGTATACACGATGAGACATTTATGTCTGGGTTATTTTTCAACGCTTATACAACAATTATTAAGTAATTCTTACATGTATTTTAATGGAACAATAATACATTATAGAAGGCAAATATATTTTATGTATTAATCTTCTTATACATTTTAAATCAACCGACTCTTACGTGCCTTTTTTAACCTATTATTGTTTTTAAAAATTAAGAGTTTATTACCTTTATTACTTGTTAATGTATTTTAATATTTTTACAAAGTATTTGTAAGATTGCGTTGCATATTAAAAGAAAGAAAAAGAATAAAAGTCATTTAGCTACGTGCTCGTAGTATTTTAAAGAAAATAAACGCACAAAGCACTTATAAATGATCCGTAATATGTACGAAGAATTACAGTTAATCCTGTTATAAAGCGAACTCATTTTGATAATCCCAAGAATTTCCATTTTATATCAATTCAGTTAATATATAATATAACGAGTGTACGTTGTAAAAAATTGGTACGGTGTCTGAAAATATTTCGTCTAGCATTGGCAGCCTTGACCTCCTCCTTCTCGACCCTCTCTGACCTGTGACTCATTCCTTTGAACGACCCACCAATCCTCCTTATAGTCTTCACCATTGCCTTTTTCTCTTTGTAAAATCCCATCGTTATCGAAATATATTATTGAATATATTATTTCGAAATTTTTTGTATTCAATATTTATTCTCGTCTACTTTATGCTAATGGATCAAAATATATTTAATCTATTTGTTTGTTCTTTATTACTTATGTATGCAATTTATAATTTTTGATAGTATTTGGAAGAGGATTCTATTTATAATTCTATACATGATAAAGTATATACAATGATAAAATATAGAGAAAATATTTTAAGCATTAAAAATGCTGAAAAATATATATATTCAAATATAAATGTTATAACATTATTAGTTATTACAACATAAATAGAATTTTTCCTAGGTTTTATATCTCAAATTATAAATTGTTAAAAATAAAGCTTGTGTTTTATTCGACGGTTTAGTCTCAGCGGAAGATACTTTTTGTTTCCGATGTTTGTAATTTCAGTTTTCACGATACCTTTTCTCAGAGGGATTGTTCTAGAATTGAAAACGCACATTTTGGGGGTATAATATTTTTCCATTGTGTGTACCTTGCCCTACCATAATCCTCGAATGTATAACTTTTCACGTCACATATTCATTAATCATATTATTAATAAATATATTTGCTAACGTTTGAACTAATATAACGTTGTTTCTTTTAATAAAGTTAATAATTCAAAATATTAGTTAAATTTACGTAAATTTTTTTTATTGTCATATAGTAATTACAAATATATATGATACATTTTTCTATCTTTTTTCTTACCTATTTATTTTTTAATTTTAAAGTATAGAAAAAGAAATGAGAGAGAGAGAGAGAGAGAGAGAGAGAACTTGCTATAAGTTATTAACATAATAAACATCGCTTTTTATATTATATATTAAGGAAAATATTTATAAATTTATGAACTAATTATTACAACACATATTATAGTATTAGTTTTTTTTATTTATAATGCATGATTCATAATATATAAAATTCTGTAGCATTCTATACATTTTTACGAATGTGTTTGATGTTTATTGAATTGAAGTTGTAAATTCAACAATTCAGAAATGTCGATAGCAAAACGTATTCTACAGCTCACATAACCTCGCATATCAAAATACTAGTATATTTGTAATAGGTACATACCACGTGTGTTTATTTAGGAAATATGGATAGTACAAAAAAAAATATATCAATAACTAGACTAACAAATGCTGCGGACACTTTGAACAATCTGTCTAGTTTTGAGTTTCGAAAAGAGGATAATTTTGATTTGTCAACTGAAAATGTGAAACCGCATTTTAAGCCTTGGCGTATTTTTATCAATCATATTGATACTTATCATGGAAAGATATTATCTAATGTATGTATCGTATTATAATAAAATTTATCTCTATATATATATGTTTATTTATTTATCGTAAATATATTAGGTTCAAATAGATTTGTTTTTTATTTATCAAATAAAACAAAAATGTTAACAAAGTAAAAAAAAATTGTGTTATAAATTTCAATAGTTTTTTTCGTTTATAAGAAGATATTCTTAAATTTTCTTCTTTAAGGTCTTTTTTTTCTATATAATCTTACATAAATAATTATTATATGTAATGATCTGTTTACAAAGCTTTACTTTTAATACAAAGTTTGATGAACAAACAATAAATCTTTTACCAATCTGTAAAATATACTAATACATTAAATATGTATAGATATTAGGAAATGTTATAAATGAAAATTATAAAAATAACATTTATTTTTATTTTAACACTTATTTTGTTATATTATTTTTGTAATTTCTTCAGGCAATATTTTGCATATACTTGTAAGTATGTATGTTATGTAAGATTAATATTAAAATAATAATACACGTTTAAAATAATGCAATTTATTAACCAAATTAATATCAAATAGATAATTTAAAAAAAGTAAAAAACATAATAAATTAAATATTATTTTTAAAAAATTTAATATTAAAAAGTTCAATTACGCAATTTAAGTATGCAATGCATTATGTATTATTTACTTTGAATTTTATGCTCTCCAAAATATGCGAATACCACATTGCTTTAAAAAACATGAATAGTAAATCCTTGCTAAAAGACACAATTAAAAGTTTATAAATATAGAAATCTTTGATTCGAACACTGCATGTATTGTTTTAATTATACTATTGTGCAGTAATCAATAGAAAAGAGAAATTAGGAAATCTTTCAATCCTTCCTTCTTAATCATATTGATTAAGGCTACCATATATGATGTGAACTAATCACATTATATCATTTTTCGTAAGGTATAAAAATTACATGAGAAATGACAGGTGATCACTTTCACAGTTACTCTCCAGGATTTCTCATAGTGGTTTAGTTGATTTATTATTTTTTATCATGTAGCGCGGTTTATAAAACAAATATTTGTGTTTATGATTCAGTAATTAAAATTACTATTACATCAATATACATCGACAAATTACTTTTAGATAGCAGAGAAATTGAATGAAAGATGTATTTACGCTGAAGCGTACAAAAAACTTTTCGAAGACACGCTGCATATAACAAACTTGATATAATTGCGCAATGTCCTTTTATTCATATTTTTCATTAAATATACGACGGCAATAAAATCTTTGAAAGTAGACTGTAGAATTTGATTAACATGTAGATAATTTCTTTTTGCGTATAAATGTTATGACAAGGTATTGGCTAATCTAAAAAAATAATACGTATATATTTATGTTTACGCAAGTAAATATCTTTATATTTACGTGAAAGTTTGCAAATGGTTTTTATATGTACGTATATATTTACATTTATTATCTATTAATTAGAATATTTATGTAAGTAATATTGTGATAAAATTTAAATTGAAACAATTATAGATACTATCGGATATTATCTACATCGATCCGTTAAGTACACATGCAGACGCTCTGCTAGACGAAGAAGATGAATTCGAGGATGATGACGACAAGTTTGTGGAAGGAAATGAGAGAGAGAAAAGAAAGTGGCCGAGCAAGAGTGTAGAGGGTTCAAGAAAATATAAAGTGACTGGTACAGTTCTGGATCGCAAGGTAATATCGTTAAGTTCCTTTGAAGTTCAAGTTCTTCCAAGTTTAATAACGAAGGTCTCTTGGTATTTCGAAATTAACTTCGTCTTTAGATTCGCTCTATCGATGTTTTTTTTTACATGGATTTTTATTATATATAGATACATTATGCATCTTATTCTATAATATTGAGATCAGAAATTTATGCATACGCATGTCATACATATATTTTGCGTGATACGAGAATTAGTAATAAAATAAGTTGAGAAACTCTGTAAAAAAATGAAGAAATCTGCAATAAAAAAGCGTGTTGAATTTGTTAATACATAATATCATTTGATTTTTGTCGCTCCCTAATAGTACTTGTGTCCAGAGGACGTGACAGTGATCAACTCGGATGATAAAGACCTTCTTTTATCTGAGTTAATGACCTGCGGTATTATTATCTATGACATTACACAGGAACCAGACCAGATCAAGGAAGCATGTTGGATTTTGAAGGGTACATTAATACATAAATATATCGTTATTATTTTAAGATTGTAACAAGAAAAATAATTCTTCTAAAAAAATTAATTATTATTTACTTCGAATAAAATTTTTGCATTTTAAATTAATACATTTTATTAAACGTTAAATCCCTCCGCCTTTTCTTGCAAATTGCAAACGCAGTTTGAAAATGAAATTTTCAACCTTAATTAATAATTAAGACAAGGCTGGTATAATTTCATTATTCTTTTGCATGTCTACATTTAACATGGTGTCAAAAGAAGAAAATATTAAAGTTTATTATTTATATTAAATTGCATATTTTTCATTATTAAAATATATTTATACAAACAATTTTTAATTAAAAAAAGTACCCAGCTTGAAAAACCATGTTGTATATTTTGAGCATTGAAAACACCCATTTTTTTAAATTACATTGTGTAATTAGTAGGAATTAAATTCTTGCACACTGTTTATATTTTCATAAAATTTTTCCCTTACTATGTATATTTACATATCGATCTAATGTGTGTCATTTATTGTTATTTAAATTTTTATTTTCTATTCTATTAGGGAATAAATAACGATATTATTTTATTAAAATTATATATTAGTTATACTTAGTTTGTTTTAGTGTGTAAAGTAAATGGAAAGTGTTTGATACGTTAAGCTGTTATTGAATATAAAAGACTAGTTTCAAATTTTATAGCCACGTAGCTTTTATCGACACAATAAATACGGTCTCTTCTACTTTCAGAGCTTATTCGTATGTTGGAAAGTATGGAAAAAAAATCGCCAAAAGCTTTTAAACAAGAAGAGTCAACACGATATTTTATTTTGATTTCCACCATAATGACATGGGCTTTCACAAAGCCGTTAGATCCGGTAGATCCAGATTTACCATTCACAGAAGCAGATTACCGAAAACGAAAGCCTCATCCGAATTACAAGGAACACATTCAATGTGAGAGAGAGGTTGTGGCCGTGAAGAAGATCGCCAAATTAAAAAACAAATTACGAACGTTAGTTATTTGTTGCGGTATCACATACGGTGAGGAGGAAGGACCACTTCATTATCTCTTTAAAATGGCATGGCAAAACGCACCTTTCTTACCTATATTTGGCAAAGGACAGAACAAAATACCTCTTCTACATATTCGTGACTTGGCCGCGTGAGTAATAATAGAAAAGGAATATAAAGACTTTTATATTGTTCCAGAAATTGCGATATTGATATTTGTTTCAAGATGCGCCTTGAAATACGTTATATAAGAAATTTAATAATGCTTACTTGTGCAATATAGAATAATATTTGCAATAAAACTTTTTCTTATTAATATTATCTGTAAATTTAATCTAAATCAAATTATTAATATTATATAACCGGATCACTATTATTGCAATTCTGCAATAAAACAATTTATAACAATATAATACTATTTTTTATCAATTTTATTTTTGTATTTAGTATTAGAAAATACAATTTTACAAGTTAACATTTTTATACATGTAAAATACTCTCTAAAAAATTGACATTATTAAAATAAAAATAACAGTAAAAATATAATAATAAAATAATTTATGTTATAGATAATATAAATATATAAAAATTTAATGTTCTATAAATTTTCATATTTTCAATGTAGGATGTTAGCGTAAGCTTATTTGAGTACGCTGGAGTTCTAATTGTCTGGCTAACCAAATCCGCTTACTGTTACAAGTAATTTGATTTGCAGAACTGTATCCTCAGTGTTACAAAATTGGCCTCCTATGCAATATATCGTGGCAATAGAGCGGGAATTAATCTCTCAAAATACGATTGTGAAGGTACAAATCCGTTTACTTATCGACAAACTAAATACTATTATAAAAATACAATATTTTATAAAATACAAGTATTTTCTTAAATTTTTCGATTAAATTCCTTATTTTATAAAGAAAATACTAGAACAAATTTAATTGTTACATACGGTTAAATATGCATATCTGCAATAAGGAAAACATAGACAAATTGAAAATCATTATTATCATAATCTTTAGTACGTTGTTATTTTTTGGCATAAACGTATATTGACCTGAATTATTCGAAATGGGGGTTGATTTCATTAATCTGATTCATATTCAGTTTTACTCGCGCAAACCAGTTTTGGAAACATTCTTCGTTCTACTTGTGTAAACTGGTTTACACAAGTAACACGGAGTAAGGAATCCAATATTTAGAGTTGATCTTTTTTTTAACAAGTCCATTGAAAGATAGAGAATATTAACTCTTCACTGTTAATTTAAGAATATTTTCTTTATTGTGAAGATTTGCATATCGCGTGCAAACTATTTCATTTTATAAAAATCTTCACAAGACGCAAATGTTTAGGTATATATTGTATATATAGGTTTTACATATTGATTATTATGCATTATAGATTATATAAGATAATTATATACTTTTAGTATTTTTACATTTTTATATCTTTTTAAAAGTAAAACGTAAATTTTAAATAATTTTATGATAAAACAAAATAAGGAATTTAAAAATAAATGTACTGCAATACATAAACCATTTTTATCTTCTGATCAATATGTTTGTAAACAGAAAATTAGTCAAGGCTTAACTACTGGTAATGTAAAAAGCGTATCAAAGGAAGAGGCTCTTTCGTTGCCAGAAGTGTCTCATCAAGTATATGATCAAATGACAGTAGATTTAAACATTGATCCTGTGTACATCATTGACCAAATATGCTGGTATTTTGAAATGCCATTTCGAGATGTTGTAGACATAGTTATAACAGAATACAAAACAGCGCGGAATCTACGTCCAGTGAAAATAATCGTTCTTGGTCCGCCAGCATCTGGCAAAACACGGATTGCTCGATATTTCGCAGATTATTATGGAATACATTATATTCATGTGAAAACATTGGTCTCTGATACAATTCAAAAATTGGTGAGTGTATTTATTCGTGAAAAGACCAATCGCTATCAACATACGCGCGCATTCTGTAATAATTAGCAATAAAATTAACAATTATAATTCTAAGATCGACAACATTGAAGCTGTGAAAGCAGGTATAAGACGACAAGATGACATAAGAGATACAACAGAAAGTGCAGGTGGCGACGAGGATAAAAGAACTGAAGAAGAAGCAGAGGTGAGCCTGAAAAGATTGCAAAAGGAACTTGATGAGATCCGGTCAAACATGGCAGCGAATAATGGCCGTCTCGACGATATCATCTTAAATAAGTGATTAAATATTAATGTGCTAGTTCTACAATTCCTTCTATGCTTTCAGTTTTATTCGAGCTCAGCCTTGCAAGCTCGTATATATTTAGAAAGTTGACATTGTTAGTCAGCTTTATTTCCTGCGTTGTCGTGCTGTAATCACATTGCCGAAACATTATCTAATTAACAGCAAAATGAAACATTAGTCTAGTTCACGTTAAAGTTAGAATGTCTTCCTCCGAAAACGCTAAGTGTATATAAAAAGTTAACTCATTTACATGCTTCTATATTATGTTCCATTCGAATCGATACATCGGTAATGCATATATAACAAAAAAGTGCGAATTTGTAATAAATAAACATGTATTCTTGTATGTTTTTTCAACATTTTCTAGAATTAACGAAGCTAGTTACAACAACTTAGTTAAAATAACCTTATATGCTTGGAACGTATTCACTGGTTAAATATACACATCAAAGTTTTGACATAAACATCTAACCAACCATTGTAGAATAAATTTCATTATACACCGTATGTTACAAACTACGTTTCATCAACTTTGTAACAGAGATGTAACATGTTGCAAGATAGTATTTAAGTCGAAAAATAATACTTAATTTATTTACTTGAAAATGGCAAATTTACTCCTCGACAGAGCTAACGTCAAAATCTGTTACTGACGTTGAGTTTGTGAAATTAATTTAATTTATGTCAATTAAATTTATAGTTAACTAATTAATTTCAAAATAACATAACTCGTATAAAAAAGAATGTGTATGTGTGAATACTAAACTTATTTTAATAATATTAATTATAATTCATACTGTAACATACATTCTTTATTACATCTACAAATTAAAAATTATTGGAGTTACTCAATTATATTTAATTGAACGGATTTAATAGACCTCAGCTCCGGAAGATTAAATACAAATTCAAATTCAAATTGTTAAATTACAGCTACAAATTTTAAAATATTATTTTTAATAAGATTTTAAATTTATCTGCTTTTAAAATAAATAATTGAATTAATATACTATAATATTAACAAACGATGTTTTGTACTGTTAAAAAGATGATAATAGAAATATTAATTACATAATAGGTTGTTCCTAAGCCGGTTGAATTCGAAAGACTGTTTGAATCAAGGATATGTGATGGATGGACATCCAAAGACCCTTGAACAAGCCAAGAATCTATTTTTGATCGACGATTTAGAAAAAATCAAAGAAAAATTCACGGACGACAATGTCGAAATGAAAAATGTTAATACGATGATTCTACCGGAATTGATCGTAGTTCTGGAAGCGAGTGATGAGTTTTTAAAAGAACGAATCATAAATCGTCCAGAGAGGGAGATACAAAACACACATTATACGGAGGAGCACATGCTACGACGCATGAGAGAATACAGGTAGATATTAATCATGTATGCGAGATGGGAAAGAAATATCTATGGCTTAAAAGTGTCTACGTTCATAAAAAGAGAACTGCGGTTTATTCATATTGTGATAGGTTTGACGAAGAAATCGATATTGAAGCTAATTTTTAATCTCGCACAAATGGGATTGAAAAATTTATGGATAAAGATCGATTACATCCGTAAAAAATGTAATAAGTAAAAAAATCAAATACATCATGATAAGTTAAAAATTACGTGACAATTTAGTTATTTTACGCTACGACACAACTCAAAACAAGGGACTCACTCGAGCGACTTTAATTCGATTAAAGAGTTTTCAGTTGAATGCTTTTTATGCTATATATGTGTTAATAAAAACCTGCTTCTATTTTTCTGCAAATTGTATTTAAATAATAATTTAAATAATAAAATAAATTAACAATTACTGCTTTTTTTTACATTGTGCATTTGTACAAACAGATAAAACTGTGCAAATGCAGTTTATATAAATAACTTATTGATCGTTAAAATACAAAAGTTTATTTATACTAAAGTTATGCAACAACTGTACATACATACACGCAATTATGGTTGATATTCTAGGGAAAGAAACACAGACGATAACACGCCGTTACAATTATTCGACGTAATGGAAATCCATCCACTTGTCATCTCTGTGGAAACTGACGTTTGCCCAGATATGTTCCCTACAATTTATCGGTGCCTGGAAAAATTAGGAAAACCAAGAAATTACGGTACCCAATAATTCATACTCTTTCTCGACTTTATCTCATTTCATTTTTTTTTCTATATTTTGTGATACGAGCCTCAACATCTTCTATCCGTTTCCATTATTACTGCATGTTCGTTTCTGTTATCATACGCCTATTCATTATTCCTAGCCATGTCTAAACTAACGAAAAAATAAATGTCACGGGATAACGTCTCCATTGTTTGCAGTAAATTTTATTAAAGAGGACTTATTCTTTAATAAAGCTGTTGAATCACGACATAAAAACTTTCTTCAAAGTATATATATGTATCAAGTAATAATTTCAGCGACCTTAATTTTTAATATACTTTTGTATTTCTCGTTAGTTAAAGGTCGTTCCTTTCGCCGTTGGACAATCTTAGTTCGTTTTTTCTTTGTTCGTATCGTAATTATATCTCTGCGATCTACAAAAAGAGAAAAAATAACATCCAGTTCAATTAGCTTTAATCGAAGATATTGGCTCTTTACGGATTAATAAAATAATATCGGAGCTACTTTTTATTGATTCAATATAACGATAATGAAAAAAGCTTTTGCAAGTAGAGGGTTCTTATACAATTTATTTATTATTCAAATTATCATATTCATTCTTCCACAATTTTATTTTTGTTAAATAATATTAGAAATTATAACGTCGAAATACTTTTTTTATCTAGGACCAACAACTGAGGAAATGGAAGTTGCACGGAAACGCGTTGAAACGGAAACACAAGCTGCTGAAGTTGTGGAAAAATTGAGAAAAGAGCAAGAAATTTTGGAATGTAAAAGGCAGCGCGAAAAGAAAATGATGGAATGGGTTTGTAAATACTTTCAATACTATATTTTATAACTATATGTAATTGAATATATGTTAATTTATTCCGCATTTTCATTAATATTTATGTTTAACGAATTATTGAATTAGTATGGTACAGAATAATAAATTAACTCACAAAATTGATATTAAAACTTTAATATTAGGTTTGCCAATGTACATAAATTACTTATTTACATATGCAAGCCAATTTAATTATTAAAATTGCCAAACTGTTTCTCAATTGCTTAAAGTATAAACACTGATATATCATAGTATATTTGATTCAATGAAAATAAAATAAATTTATATTGTCAATAATTAGTGTAATATAATTTATAGTGTGTATAATCTGCATATGGTAATTTTTTCATTCCTTTTTTATACTATTGCAATGTATGTTTGTCATAAGCGAGCTTTAATCTATCCGACGTAATCACGACAGCAGTTATTAAGTTTCTGCTTAGCTGGGCATGATTCTGAAAGCAGATTCGGCTTTTCTTTCAATGAAATCGCACCGTCAACCATGAACGCCACGCTATTGATACCGACGATGCCTGTATAACGATGAATATTTTTATACTAGGCCAACAACGTTTCCAATGTTTCCACTAGATGTTTGCAACGTGCATATTATATTGTTTTGCAAACCAGCGTAAAATTTTCAAATTTAAAAATTATTTTTGAAGGAGAAAATTAGTAGTTCGTAAGCGGATATGAAGATTAAACGAACCGAATGAGTTGAAGTACTGGCTTGCAATATTAATCTATTTTTTGTACATATCTGGAAATTTATGCGACTGGATTAGCGTTTACGGGACTTTTCTACATACGAAGCTTGAATCTGTAGTTTATACATTAACGATTCAAGCTACCGACAAATGCAAATGCGTATCGATCACGGTTGGTCGCTCATGAGAGGTGGCTCTTTGTAAAATCATAATTATACAACAGTAATAATTCAACTAGAGTAGAGAATAAAAATAAAAAAAGATTTCTAAATATATTATATAACACAAATATTAAATTATCTAGATTCTAACTTGATTTCTTTTCTCATGTTAGTCATTGTAAGATATCCGTCTTATGACATGTACATTAAAGCTCTCAAATAATTCTCTTATTCATGATTATTTCACGTAAAATGGAAATTTTATTATTTGTAAAATGTATTCTCTAAATTAACTCTCTGACTCTAAAACGTAAATCTGTAATATATTATTATAATTGACGTTGGATCTATAAGACCAATGTAAGAAATGTTAATTAAAAGGTACAAATTAATTTCAAAATATCAAAACACGTCTAAACAAGAATGAGTATTAAGCATAATTTGATATTGCAGTAATAATTTAAATTTGCAGATTTAACATAAAGGAGATTAAATTCAATACTTTTGACAGAGATTTATAATTGAGTGACTTTGATAGATCCACTGTCAGCTCCGCGAGGGGGGGAAGGAATAAAATTAATTCGCCTGGATTTGAATTTCTTCAACTATCAGCAATATATATACCATGTAATCCAGTAATATAAATCTCATAACCAATAAAACATTGTCTTTTACAGGACAACTTGATGGAGAAGCTGAAATTAGAGGAGGAGGAGAGACTTTGTGTTTTGGCAGAGCCGTTACGCAATTATCTGATGAAGTACGTTTTTCCAACTCTGACAGAAGCTTTAATAGAAGTGACAAAATTACGACCGGAGGATCCAATAGATTTTTTGGTTAGTACATATATTATCGTTTGTTAACATTTATCAACTTTTCTGGTTCTATTATTACCGCAGAAATATCGTACTATTGTATATTCAATTACGAAAAACGATGTAATACGTATAACGCTTCCATCGTTAGGGTTCATCAATTACTGTTTTGTTGGTAGAGTTGAGATAATAAGTTTAAAATTACGTAAAGCAAAAGCGAAAAACGTCGCGCAAGAATACAATAAAATTAACTTACCAAACTCGCACAATGTACTGTGACAAATAAATTATAGTATCGCCGTGTTCTGACGGACTAACTCCGTCAGTTTAAATGAATTTAGCTCGCTGTACTGAAGGAACTCTGAAATAAAATTATGTCAAGCGACCCACTTTTAATTCGGTTAAATTCACAGTTCGTTTGGCATATCCAAGAAAACGACAAGATGTTTGACGATTATACCTTACCAGACGGGAATTATTAATGTCCGGGAATGTAACAAGAGTTAAAAGATAATTTTTTTTTGCACAAATATATCAATAATTATTGCAAAACAAGATGTTTGATAACGTTTTCTTGAATGTCGTGGCCGGTTCCATATAACATTGTCGTAATCGGTTCGCGAAATAATAGTAAAAGAGTTACACGGACTTGCGTATTATATAATAAAAAAATTATTGATGAAAAATATCATACATGTTTTAAATTATTGAAAGATTTTATGTTGTCAAATGTATGTTGTTTTTCTTTTAAAGATTAAAAAATCTATATCCATTAAGGATGTTACATCGCAGTATTTTTTTCATCACAATCTCAACAAGTGATTTAAAAAATATCCCGTTATATTTAAAAGATTTATAGAATTTTATAAAATATTATTGAATATATATATATATATATATATAATAATAATATCTCATTCAAACAAACATAAAGATACTCCGATATAGATCAAACCTACTGTAATATTGTAACTTTTATCATTTAAAAGCTTTAAGTAGTTTAAATAATAATTGATATTTAAATAACATTTCAAGCGAAAATTCGTGTTTGATAATTATCCGTAATTAAAACTGTATGAATTCTGGTAATTCTGGGACATTTTTCTAATTTTTAAATAGCGTAAAAAATTGGAATATTTTGTTTCACACAATTATTTTCCACAGTTTTCATTAATTTATTATGTAGACTAATTATCGTATTATATTTATCCAGTCGTAATTTGTATGTAAGTAAAAATTTTGAAATATCCTCTAAAACTAATGATAAAAAACTTGGATGGGCCAAAAGGACCTATATATTTTTTTAGCGCCACAAAAAAATACATATTCTCATTACGGGTTAATTATAAAAAATGATAACTCGTGTACATATGTGCGCGTACATATGTGCAACTGCAATTAATGGAAGTGAAAGCGTTAGACACACAAACATGTTTAAAGTCTATCGAATAAAATTCCGTTGGGACCTGTTTGCTGTGCAAACGTTCTAAGAAATCGCCAAACTAGGCAATTCCGTTAGATTTTCGACACAGTTCGGCAATCGCCACGAAAGGAACATTTTCACATGTGCAAATGCGAGAACAACTTTCACACTTCAAATCTTGTTCTCGTGGAAATCGATAGGTTGCTGCTCGCGATTAGACGCCGTTCCACTCCGGAGCATCGAACCATGAGGGGAATAGGAGCATGACCGTTCTCTTGGCTCTCTGTCGACCATATCGAGACCTTCTATCTATAATTTCGTGATTTCGAGCTTCGTCGGTTTTGATCAGTCCGTTATTATGGAGAAACGCAAAGGGCATTTTGCAAAGCAATTTTTTTCACTATCAGCTTCAGTAATCGTTTTAATTCGCTTTATTATTCACAATCGATCTCTTCATATATAAACGCAATTTGTATTATCGCGAATTTAGTGTTAAACAATATTTCATTTTTTAAAAATATATTTGATGTATTTACTTATTTTTACATATATATTTTAATTTTTTAAAATAAAATATTTCAAACAATTTTATGTATATATGATATATATATATATAATATGTGTATAAATATTTATTACATTATAATTATTTAACTAAAAGGTTAACATACGGCACATTATATTGATGTTACTGAGTTAATGTTTGCCAATTTGCTTTACAACTGTTTTGCGAATGACCAATCTCATCTTTATTTTTCCAATTTTCTATTTCCCCTAATCATAAAATCGCCTGTGTGTGTAGGAGAAAGTTCTTGCTCACTTTCAATTTGTTACAAAGTTTTCTTTTAGACAGTGGTTTTTTCATGAAAATTGGTAATAGAAAGTTCTCATTGTATATAGATAATTTTATAAATATATAGATACAACTTTATATGACTAAGAAAAGCTATGAGGAGAAAGAGGAAGAGACAGAAAGAAGTCAGAAGGATAGAAAAGGGAGATACAATGTCGATAAAATAAATTCGTGTTATCTTCGACGTTCCAATGGTTCGATAAACTAGTATATAATGGTATTGTAGCAATATGTCCAATCTTTAGAATTCATTATTTAAAAGATAATCACTTCATATAAATGCAGTCTCAGAGAGCAAGTCAAGGGATAATATGGGGATAAAATGGATAATACAGCAATTCGGAGTTGTTGTTTGTTGAAGGACATTTATGACTACATCATTCCCTAAATGTATTACCTCTTTTAGTGATAAAAAGAAATAGAATTTCTTCCATTTATCTAACTTATTTATATTGTTCTTATGTTTCTTGATTACAAAATGAATCTTCTTCAATCATTTTTCAAATTTATCTATCTTCTTCGTCACACTCAGAGAAAAGGATATAATGGTAGTAACTATACAATGACATATATAAGTACTATATTGTATGTAAAATTAATGTATCTAGTTAAATAAATTATTTTATAATTATTGCAACTATTATATAGTTTATTTAATTATGCACATTACTCACCTATTCACAATACACAATTCTATTTATTTAACTTGTCTAGTTGTTATTTTTATTGTTACAACTTATACTTTTTTCTGAGTGCACAAATTTATAAAGGTAATTTAAATCGTCTGCTAAACTATTCAAATTTCAAAAATATTTCAACAATATATTTTCCATCTACTGATGAATTATAGAGAAAAATGTTGACTGCTGAAAATTTCACATCGTATCTGCTTTGATTGTTTAGATACCGATCTCTAAGTCTGGTGAATCATTTGATGAAGTTTTGATACATCAATACTTTTTCATGTTATCACAACAAAGTGTTGTCACAGTCTATATATTTAATAAATTACTCAATATTTATTATAAACTTTTCTGAAGGTCTTTAATATCTTTAGTGGAGTTTTTCATATTTGCCTTGAACTTCCACGTATATTCGACTTACAAAGATTTAATCGTATTCCCTTCGTGTATTCGAAATCGATTCACTAGTACAAAGTACTGTTAGACGCCATTTCGTATAATTACGAAATAACTGTGACCATTGAGACCGTACATGTGGATGTATTGTTTTCTAAATATTACATTGGACTTGTGTAGCCTTAACTAAATTTTCTGAGCCATATACTCTCATTATTACACGTGTCACTGCGCAATACGATAAAATGCTGTAGCGTCTCTTAGACGTATAGATAATGTGATCATTTCTATGCGGACCGCATGCAAACAAATCAGGATTCTAACGTTGTTTGGGAAATATCGAGACACGAGCGAATACGAGATTGCAAGGTAATAGAATACGATAACGCAACAATAAGCCAGTATCTTTAGACGTTCTTGCATAAGAGCGTGCTGCCGGTCGCGCGGACCAAGTTACAAAGGAAAATTAATAACGAGGTAGAATGCGCGATGTGTGACGTCATGACTATGTTAAAATTACAAATGCAACGTAATATAACATTTACACTGTTATAAATAAAATGAGCGACGTAACACAAGATTTTATGATTTCATTATAGCCTTATAATGTCTCGGCAGATAATTTTAGTGAAAAATAATGAGTTTACGAGTTTTAAAATAGAGCAAATACTTAGTTAAATTATTTATACTTCTAATAGTTATTTTTGTAAGAGAATAAGGAATTTTAAAACATCACAAAATGCAAGCTGTTTTTACATTGTGACGTTATAATTTTCTATTAATAAATTCCTGTGAAACACAAGTTTAAGCCCGTTGCTATCATAACGATGTAACAGTCAGATATATCTATTAAAAAGTATTTCGCAATATCGATGTATTGGAGAAAATTGAATAAAACACGTTAAGTTGTATGTGAATGCTACCGGAGAAAGAAAATGTAACAAAGAAATTCAATGCGTGTCATGTTATATAAAAAATTGTATAAAAAAACAGACTAATATATCTCTATTTAATATAATATTAAAGGACTACTGGTTAATAGCTAATTACTGATAATTTTTTTATAAATAGTTCTTCGTATTAAAATTAATAAAATATAGAAAGAGACCCTTATTGCAACGATACCTAATTTATTAACAGTAACAAATCTCATACAACCGATGTTAATATTCACTGGTGTATAATAATCATTAGTAATTCAAAACAGAATGCAGAAAGGAACATTATTAATTTTGCTGAAAGTATTTCCGAGGGAAAACATTTTTAAATTATCTCTTAAACACGTGATATTATTTATGATACATATTAGACTTATATTCTCATTTATTATATTAAAGAGAAAAAAGAGAGCTTTTCGTGTTATATGAGATCGTATTGACTGTATTGTACTGACGTTACGTAGATATTCATGCACATATAAAATATAGAGATGACGCTCACCGCAGCAGTAACTAATTTATTAATAGCGGCAAACCTCATGCTGGTGTTAATATTTAGTTGGATAATAATTCATTAGCTGTTTAACACAATGCAAAAGGAATACACAGCATTAAATTTCTATTAATTGCTAAATTTCATAAATCACCAATTTGGTGTAATAATAGAAAATAATGGGATTGACGCAGCGTTTAATGCATTTCTGCAATAAACAATTACAAACTTAATAATACGTAACGATCTTCCGCGCAATATCCTATAACTTTCACATTTTGTAAATGTCGATCGAGATTCGCCATTTCCGAACGATCCCGCATTAAGTATTGTTTAAGGTAAAACTATGTAGCAGCATTTATGATAGCCGCATTGTTGTACCAATCATTGTTTCAGCTAGAAATAAAACAACAACAAAGCTTTCGCGATAATGCAAAGAATTGAAACGGTGAAGGTAAAGCGATGCGTAGGTTGTCCAACATTGAATCGTGAGAAAAATTCTGATGCAAAAATCAGAGCGTAGTAGGACGAATGACATTGAGAGTGAAAGTGGGTCGTAATATCGGTTGTAAATGGCATACGACCTGTTTCTAAACGGACTACGAGGTCGACTTTATATTCTTGCGTATTCTCATATACGGGCGAAGAATGCAGGATCACAGTCGGGTTAATTATATAGAAACTGCAGCACACTGTCGGAAAAAGTTCCGTATACACATTTTAATTGAAAATACAATTGTGTGAGTTAAAAAGCTTTTAAGTGACTTCCATTTGTAATAAAACGTGCCTCGCAATATTTTGCTTTATAATTAATCATGCTTTATATTACATTTTATTTGCAAGTTTAATTAACTTATTACTTTTTGTTATGAATCTTGCATGTGTGTATTGAAATATTTTACCGTTGTTATATTGACAACTAAATTCACAGTTAAAATATTACAGGAATAGTATATAAGAAATATACTCTTGTTCCAGGCCGAATATTTATTTAAAAAGAATCCCGAGGGAAGGATGTTCGAGCCGGATTACACAGAAACAATGAGCATGCTCCTGGATGCTGTCGGTCGACAACAAAATGATGCTCTTCCAAGGGAAGGATTGGAAACCGACGTTGCACAATTTCTCAAAAGGCAAGATGAACTGTTCACCGTGAATAAAATAAGAAAAAGCGGAATGCAAGACGTGGACAGAAAGATAGATACGACGTCGATTCTCGAACAGAATTTTGAGTATGAGAGATTTGATGATTCTGAAAAGGAAGAATTGGATTCCACTGAACGAACGACCGACGAAATCGGAAGCGAAGCTTAACGAACCGTCAAATTATTCTTAAAGTAGATAGTAACTTCTTACTAATCTGGATACACAACATGGTGGAATTTAAAGACAAAAATCCAACTGCATTTCAATATTTATGATATTCTGCCAATTGACCCTCCGGAGGGTTGAATGACGGATATGACACTAAAATCTATAACACAGTTACTGAGACTGGGGAAGACCTATTTAATTTATGCTAATTAAAAGGCTATAATTAATTTCAAAGAATCAAAATGACATAAAAATGAATACTAAATATATTTTAATAAAAAATAATCTAAATTTGCAGAGATATAACATAATGAAAATTTAATTATTTAACATTTGTGACAAAGATAATTATAATTGAGTTATGAGGATTAATTTTTATTCCATGTTAATACCACATTTATTATTTAATATTTTTTGTTTTAAGATCACAAATTCCCAAACACCTAAATAAAAGATGTTTAATATAAATACTCTTTGATATTCAATATCAACTTATCATGCATAATAACTATGTTAACTTGACTGTGACGTTTTTTTTCATAAACATTATTTTTTTAACCCAATAATGCCGATATTCATCCAGACGTGATTTTGTCTTTAGACACGTGCAATATGAGCTAAATATAACATGATGTACTTAAATAAACTCCTCTCTCTTACTATGTATTTTTCTTTTTAATTAGACTACATATTCGTGATTTAAAAAATAACATTATTGCAATTTTTCATAAAATTCTCATCTCATTGCATTAGATATATGTGTGTATATATATATATATTTATATATAAAACGCGTGCACTTTGTTTGTGTAATAATCAATGCAATTTATATATATATTATTATAGAGCTGCTTGATAGTTGCAGATTTATATTGCAGCTCCAGCAATTAGTAAATTGTTTATAATAATATTCCACAGAATATATTTGAATGCAATATATATATATATATATATATATATATATAAATAGTTTATGTAATATTTTTCAATGTAAATATTCTATATCCCCATATCTGATTTTGGATTCAAGCGCTTATGCTGTTCTGTTGTGCAACAAGCAGACATTCAAGCTGACCGTTCGAAGCGAGGGATTTATCTCTTCGATACGAAATCGCATTTTACACACGCATCAATTGAATTAAAAGGAAACAAACAGTAAATTGTATTAACTTTTATTGAGAAATAAATATATGTAAGAAGAGCTTATGTATAACAGAGAAAAATCTTTGCTATAAATGTTTAGAATTTGTGCACGTGCGATTTCTTGGAAAGGATTTCAGCGAGTTTGTAGTCCTTGACCAGGTAGACTATATCTATGGAAAGCTTACATAACTTTAATCACTTCAAAACTTGTCATACATATAGGTACAGAATCCTAAGTCAGTTAATTTATAAAGCCTACTAACGGAAAAAAATTATCACCATTTTTTTAATGGGATTTTTGATTATCACAGTTTCACATAATTCGATATATGTATAACGTTAATATAATGATATATAATAACGATATCGTTAGGAAATATCGCGTTAACTTGTAATAGACGATCCGTCAAGTAATACTTTGCAATTATTTTCTCGACTGGAAACGTGTCTAATTTTCTGTTACATTTAGAATCAAGCTGGCTAACATTGGCTTGCCTAACTCTACTCATAGTTTAATGTATGCCTTTCTAGATCATAGCATAGCTATTTAACGGACAGATGAAAGAATGAAAAATAGCAGTTTGATTTGCGGTGGTTAATCAGCGTTAATAAAAATAATCCACTATAATATAATTTTTCTAACAAAGGCAAAACAGTTGCTTATTATTAAAAACAAATTCTCTGCTTGTTGTGTTCACAAATATTTGTTTTGTTTACGTAAAGTTACGTTAGTTAATTTATTGACGTAGGTTAAATTATTCGCCTCCACTCTGTGCATCTTAATTACGCAGATAATATCGTTATAGCGATAGTGAATCAAGTACTATGCAAAACTATCCATCCTTCAACATCTTATCAATTTCCTTTATGGCTTTCCACGGAAGCGCATGCCTAAGTGTAGCTTCTTCTAGGAAATATCGCGAGTTTCTATTGAACCACTCAACAATTATAAGGTCAAGGGCAAAGATTCCACAATTATTTTGTATACTTTATCGTAACACACATGATATATTCTCAAAGTGTGTTTTCCTGTATTATTTTTGTATAATAAACATACATATGAATTAAATATCGCTGCAGTGAAATACGATTTACCTTCGAGTTTACATAGAATATTTTTTACACAAGGATACGTTGATACAACACTCTTTTGCCTTTTATTTTAACTTTATTATGATATGAAAAAATATGAAAATACTCTTTGTGTCGGAGCCAAGCGATTTTATGAATAATTCGGCCGCGAAAATAAACGGTGAATAAACGCAGGATAAATGTAAATATTCTCGGGTATGCCACACATGAAAGTAAACTTGAAAATTAAGGAAATGTAATGCGACCAATTAGCTTACAAATGTTTTACGCAGCTTTAATTCCTGCGGCTTAATCGATTCAAAACTCTTACGCCTACCGGCCAGAAATTGGGTCAGTTTACTGTAACCCGGTTTTAATCAATACAATGCAATATCCGTATTGAAAGTAGATCTGGATCAAGCGTTTCCTTACGCGAATGATATCGACAGACAATATTCTATTTATCCCACTTGCTAATTTCCGCCAACACTGTCACAGAGCGGGGAATATAAGAACAAAGTCGCCTCTCGTTCTTTGTAAAACTTTGTCGCGGCACTTATCGATTCTTACAAGTATAAATAGTGTTAAAGCCTTGCTTTTTCGTACTGGAAGTCATGCATGCACAGCTACACTCAAGTCACAACATTAACAACGTGACGCCAATATTAACGTGCTGGGTAGAACATTCGCATGTCGTTTTAATTTTGAGACATGCCAAAAGTTCAGCACACCCCTCATGGTTTAGTTGGTATGTAATCCTACTAGAAAGCAATGCAATGTGCAGTGGTTAATCGTTAACGTATGGCCCAATATGAAATTTGACATACGTCAAATTTCGGAATCTTTCTATCAATTTTTAATATTTAAATAACATTTTGTCTATCTTTCAATTCAGTTTATCTTAACATTGATAAGATATTTAAAAGAGAATATATTTTAAAAATAATTTAACGTAAAAGAGTTTTAACAGTCCGCTATCATAGCTGAAGGCGTAGACTAATTCAATGATGTTAATTTGATCAACCGTTGGAATGAACGATCCATCGAAGAATTTGTAATCAAACGACATTGTTAGCATTCCTTAGAGTCCCACTAACTCGTTTCAGTCGATGCTCAATAATCTGACGTTACAACGGCCAAGATCGGATTTCCTAGGCGGTGTTGGTGCACGAGAACACCGCAGGCGGTATATCTGTATCTCCAAACACCTGTTAGCAGTCGCTCTTGGGTGGGCGGCTCGCCACATCGCCTTTAAAGTTACGGCGTCGCGAGTAATACGAATTCCTGCGCTAAAGCCGGTCTGAGACCAAACGAAGGAGCGAGCGAACAACAGGATGACCTTGATTGCGACACCTGATATCACGGGGTGTGCTCGTCTTGCGCTTCGTCGGATTCAGGTCGGCTACGACCTCGCGATCCTTCTTTCTCCCTTCCTTCTGAGCGTAAGATTAGAAGAAAAAGAAATCCACTCCCTTACCGGTGTAACTCTGCTGCGAGTAATTCGCCTCCTCGCTCGGCATCACGGTCTCCTCGAGGATGTTCTCCGACGCCGTCTTCACAACTCCCATCTTCGGTACACGATTGGACGCTTGCGGACTGACTGTGTAGGCGGATGGTCACGGGGATAGTTTAAAGCTCCGTTCCACAGCGATTATCTCGTCTCGATTGTGCCGCGTTGTCTGGCGTCGCCGGAATGCTCGGCGCCGTTTCGTCCGCTTATTGCGTCTGCGTTCGCGCCTGCGTCCATCCCCCTTCGCCAAACTCCGCACCTCACCCTTCCTGACCCTCGTGCATCCCCCGTTGCCACGGTCGCTTCTCTCATCCCCGTCAAGCCGTCACACAGGAGCAAGGCTATCTCTCTAGGCCAGGGTGAGCGCAGTAAGCAGGAGAAATTGTAGTGGTAGTGATGATAACAGTGGTAGTGGTGGCAATGGTGTCCTCTTTATGCCGCGATAGGACGGCAGGGGTTGCTGCTATCTCTACCCCTGTTGCTGCTGCCGCTGCTCTTGCTTATGATGGTTGATACTGTCGAGGGTGCTCCTGCTAGCCGTTACTATAGGAAGGGGTACTACAAGCACACAGGCACAGGCACAGGGGCAATGTCGACCTTCCTCGGTCTCGGTGAAGGTCTCCGTTGGTGACTCGTGCCGGATAATACTTCCCTTTTGCGCTTTGTCATCACGCGCTCTTTCTCTCTTTTCCTCTTATTTTCTTCTCCAATTTCCTCTCCTTCCTTTCACGATTTACGTTTTATTTTAGCTGGTTAATTTGTACGTTTTGTCATAACCTACCATTGTCGCTTACAATTATTCTTGTTAAAGCGTCATAATATAGTATAAGTTTAATTTATGCATAATTAAAAATTATATCTAGGAATAGATCTATTTATTTAAATCATAGACGAGATAATATATATGTATACAGTGTAATAGAGTATCATAAATTTTTCCAAGTCTTTCTTCTATCCTAAAATAGTCTCTTTACTGTTTTTCACGTCATTTGTAATAAACATCTGCGTTTTGATACTCTTTGAATAAATAGGAAATATGTCGTTCTATTTTCCATGACCCGAAGCTCCTTTTTTTTATGAACTGCAAAATGCGCATCGGGCGTCGTTACGCACATAGAACTCGAATGTATCCCTACACATATATGTTCGCCGAAAATCTACGTCGAAGCGTTTGCAACACGTGTTTGCCCTTGATATCTCCCACGACTACGTACGGTGTGCCTCGTTGCACGCAAAAGGCGATCGTTAAATCACATCCTTCGCACTAGTGATCTCTGAATCCCGCGGCTCTGCCATTACCTACGCGCTGCAGTGTCTTAAGTAATCCAGCATCCACTTTAATGTCCTGATACTCTACTCCGTCCGATTCCCCATACTTTCGTTTGCAAGTGTGAGACACCTGCGTCATCGGGCTCTCTTCAACTTTATTGAGTACACTGCCTGTGATCACGGCTAAAGGCT